TTAGGGAGTGGGGTTCGGGGGTGTAGGGAGTAGGGTGTTGGGGTCTAGGATAAGGAGACTGGAAGGGTAAGTACAATGAAAAGTATGCAGGTTCCAGCGGCCTAGCTCAGTTGGTAAGGCAGGCAAGTGGCATTCAGGAGGTCATGGGTTCAATTCCCATTCTGCTCATGTACCTTCCTTGACATGCTTGGCACCCGCCACCTCGAGATAGCCCGTTGGTCCCCCGGATAGGCACTGAGCAGAGATTGCTGATGTTCGTAGGGGGAAGGGAAATGGAGGGGAGGGGATTTCTCATTGCTCAATGACATGTACCTTCCGGGATGGGCTTCTTTGGAGAAGCTCTTTCGGTCCTGATGCTACCACTGACCCCTGGCCGGTATGGTCGCCCACCTGCAGGTCGGGCGCAACCCCCGCATGTTCCCTCGGTTGGACGCTTGAACACGGGCTGGCTGCTAAGGTCGCAGTTGGTTTCCTGTGGTCAGTACACAGGGCCTCGCTCCGCTACTCAACACTTTACATGTATCTGGACTCAAATTTGGGCCGGAGACATTCCTATTGATGGAACGTCTTGTATGTATCAAGACCATTACCAGCAATGGATACATTTAGAAAGTTGTGCAGTGGAGCGAGACCCATTGTCTGTTGTTGTTGTCGACCAACTTCTTCTTCTTCTTCTTCTTCGTCTTCTTCTTCTTCTTTCAATCTCCAACAGACTAAACGACAACAACAAGGACGCTTTCTGGACCAGGTGCATATGCAATGGTAGGTCCAGAAAGCGTCCAAATGCTTGTCTCCCTACAGGCTTAGGAGAATCCAAATAGAACGCACAAAAACAAGATTTGTTGAGAAAAATAAAAAATAAAAAAAATGGAGTATGTACAATGTACTACGTTTCCTTCTTTTTTTTTTTTTTTCTGTTTTCAAGTACGTTTCCTTTGAATAATACATTGTTGGGGGAGTTAACAAAAAAAAAAAAGAAAGAAAAAAAAAACATCCTTTGTTGAAAACACCATTTATATATTAAAAAAACACCATCCATTAACAGATCCCATAGCAGTAGAATGTTGTTGGTAAGTCGACCCAAAAAAAAAAGAAAAAAAAAAAGGAACGTTGTGGGTAAGTTCAGTAACGGGTCTGTGGACAGAAGGTATAGGCCCTTTGTCCAGTACAACACACTGTACATGCATTTGGACTCTCTCTGGACCAGGTGCGTTCGGCCACAGATAGGGATATCGATAACAGATCAGAAGAAGGTGGTATAGCAAGCAGAAGGAATAGGGCCTCGCTCCACTACACAACACTCTACATGCATTTGGACGCTTTCTGGAGCCAGGTGCATTCGGCCGAGTCGGACATTTTGAATGTATCGGGTCCAAAAATCGTCCAAGTGCATGTAGAGTGCTGCGTAGTGGAGCGAGGCCCATAGAGGAAAGAGACATGTTCTCGGCAGTTGGAAGGAACCACAGTGCAGGCTCTCGGCGGCATTCGATCAACAGATCACATAACAGTAGGAATTTTACAGTCCAGGTTCTCTGCATCTAGCAATGGAAACCGTAGCAGTAGGAATTACATTCATGAGAATTTCTCTGCCCCCTTCCTATCTCACACAGCAATCGTACTTGCAAGGAGATTGTTGTATATTAAATTATTAATGCATGATTGTGTTCTGTGATTGGTCCAGGGTGTTGAAGTGCTGTTCTTTTTTTTTTTTTTTTGTGTGTGTGTGTGTGTGTGTGTCGTCCACCGATCAGAACAGATATTACACTTTATCTTACTTAGCCAAAAGGCCAACGAGATATTAAACTGATGATCCGAGCAGATACAGTGCACTTGGTCTTACTTACAAGCCAAAAAGCGTATAAAGGTAATGTACGACACTTGTCGGAATTGCGGACGGATTTCTGCGCTGTGCTCTC